CGCGCGCACACACACACACACACACACACACACACACACACACACGCACGCAAACACACACGCACATGCGCGCGCGCTCACACAAACTCTCCGGAATCATAATGGAAAGTACAGGTTTGCCTGCTCTTTGGAGGGATATAACTTTGCAGATTACGGAGAAGAGGAAATGACATACTTTTGCCAATACAGTCCACTCAAACTAGCGGCGGTCCACTGGGAATCCCTTTTAGTCCCATAGGCGCCACCGTCCGGCCACACTTCGGTCGCACTGACTTCTGGGAGCTGTAGTCCCGCATTGGGTGTGTAGACATGGCGGCCTCCTTGGTGGAAGGCTGTAGGGTGTCCCTGAACCTGGCCCGGAGCTTCCGAACGGCCAGACCGCGGCTCGCTGCAGTCGCGTCAGATACCTCCTGTGTCCGCACGGGATCGAGCCGGCTTCAGAGCACCGGGCCTTCCGAACCCGGTGGGTTCAAGCCACCTCCGAAACCTGTCTTGGAGGACCGGCGCCGAGCCGCGGACGAAAGTACAAGGTGAGGCAGCGGCAGCCTTCTGGGTTTGTCACGCGTGAGCGTCTGCAGCTCGGCGCTGCCGGGGTGTGCGCGCCCTTGGATGCTGCTCCCTAGCTGGGCTGACATACATTCTCGAGTTCCGCGTCTGCCCTCTCTAGATCCCGAAGGACGCTGCCTTGGACGCCCTTTCCTCAGTTTTACTTGTCCCAAACTTTTCATCATAGTTGCACCTGCGAACGTGCTTGAGCTCGTCTGACCTCCCCAAACCCCGGGTAGAGTCTGTTGGCCAACGCTCATCAGGGTGGATTTCTGAGCCACATAGGTTTACATAGCTCGAGCCTGTTTCGGAGCCCTCACAACCAAAACAAACCCGTTTTCGTGGGAGAAACTTGGTGCGATTATAGGCGCTTTAGAAAGGGTGTAGCTCGCTGAGTGGATTGTCTCTGGACTTACATATTTGAAATATCCTGTAGTTCTAAATTGAAATCGGCTTGGACTTAGGAAAGCTGATGATTTAGAAAACAATATTTACTATTTTCTTATAGGACGTATTTATTTTTATTTTATGTGCATTGGTGTTTTGTCAGTGTGAGGCTGTCAGATCTTGGAGTTACAGGCAGTTGTGAGCTGCCATGTGGGTGTTTTGGGAATTGATCCCGAATCCTCTCGAAGAGCATTCAGTGCCCTTAACCGACGGGCCATCTCTCCAGCCCCAAGAAAAGAATATTTTCTTATGACAACATTACCTCATTGAGGTGGGAAAATAATCTTTTAAAAGCTGGAGAGATGGCTAGCTGTTAAGAACGCTGGATGCTCTTTCAGAGGGCCCTCAGAGTGGCTCACAACCATATGTAATCCCAGCGCTGGTGGAACCATCACCCTCCTTTTGGTCTCTCGGGGAACCAGGTTATGCTTGTGATGAACATACATCAATGCAGGCAAACGCTCATACACATAAAAAAAAAAAAAAAAAAAAAAAAAAAAAAATCTTCAAAAGCTAACAGTGTGAACCAGCGGTTGTAAAGGTGTCTCTTGTGCAAGCCTGTCCTCCCAGGTCTATCCCTAGAACACACAGTGCTCATGAACATTAACAGTGGTTTTGGAAACAACAGTTTTAGAAATAAAAGGATTCCTTATTTAAATGAAATGTACCAACATATTACCCTTTCATTTCTTTGTAAACCAGCTTTTTTCCCCTTATATTAGCCTAAATTACCTTTTCATTTTTAAAATTTCTTCCTTTATAGGTTCCTGAGTCCCGAATTCATTCCTCCAAGGGGAAGAACAAACCCTCTGAAATTTCAGCTAGAAAGAAAAGATATGCTAGCCAGGAGGAAGGTGCTTCACATTCCAGAGTTCTATGTTGGTGAGTAAAATCTGGGTGTCTGTCAGCAGGTGTTGGGGGATAGTTTTCTTTGCATAAAAATTACTCTCCAGATGTCTGGGTTTTGCTGTTAGCTATTTATTGCTAACATACTAAGTTGTAAACCTTATTTGTTCATTCCTGCATCTCATGTCAGAGCTTGTTTCTCTTCTGACTCTGTAGGAAGCATACTGCGTGTCACCTCAGCTGACCGGTATGCCAGTGGAAAAACCATCCAGTTCCTGGGGATTTGCATCCAGCGGTCAGGAAAAGGGCTTGGAGCTACTTTCACCCTTAGGAACATTATTGAAGGACAAGGTATTTTGTGTTTCTAGAATTTGAAAGTGGGTTTTCCCCCAAGAGATAACATGTGCTTTGCAGTGGGCAGAGATTTGTTCACTGTTTGACGTACTGTTGGAGGGTCCACTTCCTTTTGAAAGCTTCTTTTATATTATATGGTCAACACCTATTAAGATTAGACTTCCTGGGGTGGGCATGGTTGCTCATGCCTGTTTTCCTAGCACAGGAATATGCTGAGGAGGAGTTTTTTTTAGTTCAAAACCAGGTTGTACTACATAGTAAGACCCTGCCTAAATAAACATGGCGTCTTTAAGAGTATAAATAGTGTATAAAGCAGGGAGGGAAATTCCTTTTGTTTTATTGTAGTGTTTCTGAGACAGGGTCTTCCCATGTAGGCCATGAATGGCCAGGATTTTGCTATATAGAGCTGGTTGACCTCAAACTTGAAGCAACCCTTCGGTCTCTGTCTTCTGAGGAATGTGGTCAGAGGATTAGAGATGTGGCCTTCACATTTAGCAGGATCATCCTTTTTCCAAAGCCCGTCCCCTGGGACAGGCAGGATGGTATCCTTAGGGGTCTGGCTTCCAAGATGAAGGCTCCTGCTTTATGTTATGGTGTAGTCATTGCACTTGCTACTGCACTGTGGATTCACAAGCAGTCATACCTGTGATGACTAACACAGCAGAGGAGCAAATAGCAAAGCTCTAGGAAGATGAAGAATTGAAATGGCAAGTGAGAGTGTATACTTACAAGTGCACTTCAGGGTTTTCAACAGTGAAGTTTACAGAGAAACTGCTACTATAAGAGAAAGCCTTCAAGGTGAATTTTTTTTTTGGGTGGGGTCACATTCAAAACAGTATCTTAATCACCAAATTACTGTGTTTGTGCCAAGAAGGCCCTTCCCTGGTGTACTAGTTTACTCTCTATTACTGTGGTAAAACACTGACAAAAGCAACTTAGGAGAGAATTTATTTATTTATTTATTTATTTAATTTATTTCAGCTTACACATTCAGGTCAGTCTTGAGTGGAACTGAGACAGAAACCATGGATGAATGCCGTTTGCTGATCCACTCATAGGCTTATGGTTAACAACTCTTCATATAGCCTAGGACCACCTGTCTGGAGATGGTAGCTCCCATGGGGGACTAGGCCCTCATATGTCAACTAGCCATGAAGACAGTGTCTCCACTGTTCCTCAGTGAGGCTAATGCATGTTATCATAGTTGAAGAGATGGGAGGACATATTTATAGACTTCTTAAAAAACATTCAATTTTCACTTTTTAATTTAAAGTGGTTTAGTTTAATTTAAAGGGGTTTAGTTTGTTTTTCTTTAGTAATCTTCATCTTTAGAAATTACATGTGTTTGTTCCATGTCCTACTTGCTATCTTATTTTATTGTACTGTGAAGTATTGCAGGAGTCTGGACTTCGGTGGTAAGCATGTTGTATTTTTAGGTGTGGAGATTTGCTTTGAACTGTATAATCCTCGAATCCACGAGATCCAAGTGGTGAAGTTGGAGAAGCGGTTGGACGACAGCCTGCTGTATTTACGAGATGCCCTCCCCGAGTTCAGCACCTTTGACGTTGACATGAAGCCGGTCCCACATGAGTCCTGCCAGGAAGTGCCTGTTAACAAGGTAGATCTTGTACATTTGCTTAGGTGCAAGAATGAAGAAGCACCCTGCAGAAAACCTGGGGAGACTTATGTGCATCTCACCTCACCAGCCCAAATTCTCTTATTTTCCTTAGCTGAAAGTTAAAATGAAGCCAAAGCCATGGTCCAAACGCTGGGAACGTCCGAACTTCAACATTAAAGGAATCAGATTTGATCTTGCTTTAACTGAAGAGCAAATGAAAGAAGCCCAGAAGTGGAGCCAGCCATGGCTTGAGTTTGATATGATGAGAGAATATGACACTTCAAAAATTGAAGCTGCATTGCGGGAAGAAATAGAAGCATCAAAGAAGTCTTGATCTTGGGACTTGTGAGACAGCTCAGCAGGTAAACAAACATGCTTCCTGCTCAGGCTGAAGACCTGAGTTCAGCTCTGGAACCTGGGGTGGACAGAGAACTGACTCTTGAAAGTTGTCCTTTGCCTTTTACGTGTACACCCCAGCACGTGTGAGCCCGAACTTGTACACACACATTAAAGTATTGTTTTCTTTAAGCCCTTGTTCTTAGGGTGCCTTTAGTTAATTGCACATGTTAATTGATCAGGATTTGGTTTGAAAGCTATTAAGTTTTTGCAGTCAGTGGAGTCAGCACAAATGAGGTGTACTGGGGTGTGAGCAAGAGGAGTAAATTGGGAAATTATCAAATACCCAGCAGTGTAGAGTTCAAGTATGATAGTAGGGACTGTAGAGTGGATCAGTAGTTAGGAACACTTGCTGCTCTTTCAGAGGACCTGAGTCCAGTTCCCAGCACGCAGGTCTGTATGTATGTGTATGGGTGTCCAGAGACCAGAATTTCAGTCTCTGGAACTGAAGATACAGCTGCTTGTGACACACCTGACATGGGTGCTGGCAATTGAACTAAGGAGAACTGAATGTACTCTTAAATCATTAGCTATCGCTGCAGCCCTACAGTATTAAATATCTTGTTTTGACAGGCTCATTAGCAGGTAGGAAAGGGTGCTGTCTTGCTCTGTGGATGTTTCAAGGAGAATGTGGCAGGGTTAATTGTTGTCTGGCTTCATTTCCCCCTGAGAGTCTACAGAAACCACTTACAAAGACAGGCCTTCTCTGATTTCCCTGAGTCTCTCTCTGTTTTAGAGTTTCCAGTTAGACCCGTGACTTGTCTCTGTTTAGGTGTTGTGGGTGGGTAGAAAAATGAGATGGAATTAAGGCTCATTCAGTTATCTAGTCCTGTTAGCACTGGGCTGGGGATCCCCCACTGAATAATGTGGTCTTAGCTTGTGCACCTGTCTCAGTGTTGACATTTAATTTATAAGTCAGTGTAAGGAGAATAAAAACTACCCCAAGTTAGTTTTCTAATTCATGACCATGGTCTATCTCTCCCCACTTTGGCCTCTTAAAAGTTTTTCTTGCCAGGTGTGGTGACACAGGCAATCCTAGGGCTTGGGAGGCAGAGGCAGGAAGGTCCCAAGGTCAGTGTCACTTACACCTCAGAATAAAACCCAGTTTCCATCAAGAATAAAACAAAGGAAACCAGCAGAGATAAAGGATGAAAGGCTCTGTCATGGTCTCATGTAGCCCCTGTTGGCCTGGAGTTCACCATGAGGTGAATCACCAGATGAGTGTTTGCTCTTGCTGTGTTATGAGTCCCTTTCACAGGATTAGGAGGCGGGAATAAGACCCTTCCAATTCGGGCAGGGTTAGCATCGTATCACAACATGCTTCAATTAGTGGTTCAAGATACCCACCCAGTTTAGATTAATGAGAGAAACCCAAAGCCAGAGAACAGCTTCCAAAAGTGTACTTTAACAGTAAAAAATACTAGAAAATTTTAGAAAAGTCTGCCATTTATATACAAAACCAAAACTTTCTGTACACATACACATGTGCTTTTGTAATGAGCAACTGTCTAAAATGACAACATGAACATGACCTCTCTGAGGATTCAGCAGTGTCTGAGCGCTCTATGTGGGACTGTTTGTGTACAGTTTGTAACAGTCTTAACACCTTCACTTGGAGAACCACAGCCTTCACTGCTAGTGATAACATGTCAGCTGTTCACATTACATGCAGTCTTGAAAATAGGGCTTCCAAGTATGTAAATTCGGGCCATTGAGTCACATCTTATAATGTAACCAACATTTTCTAACTATCTTTTTTAGGCAATAATTTGCAAAATACATACATAGGCTCATCATTAAGTTGCTTAACAAACAGACTCAACACTAATAAAATCATTTTGAGAAAAATTTCTAATTTAACTACATTGCCTCAAATGTCCTTAATCAGACAAAGACTTTACATTTTTTTAAGGATTTTTTTTTTTTATTAGAAAATTATTTTACATGTCAATCCCAGGTCTCTCTCCCTCCCCTCCTCCCCTGCCCCCACAACTAATACCCTACCTATCCCATACCCTTTCTGCTCCCCAGGGAGGGTAAGGCCTTCTATAGGGGTCTTCAAAGTCTGTCATATTCTTTGGGATAGAGCCTAGGTCAACCCCCTTGTGTCTAGGCTCAGGGAGTATCCCTCCATGTGGGATGGGCTCCTAAAGTCCATTCCTACGCTAGGGATAACTACTGATCCACTACAAGAGGCCCTATAGATTTCCAAGGTCTCCTCACTGACACCCACATTCAGGGTGTCTGGATCAGTCCCATGCTGGTTTCCCAGCAATCAGTCTGGGGACCAAGAGTTTTCCCTTGTTCAGGACAGCTGTTTCTGTGGTTCACAGAGATCCGCCTGCATCTGCCTCCTGAGTGCTGGGGTTAAAGGCGTGTGCCACCAACGCCCGGCAAGACTTTACATTTCTATATTTAAAATAGCAGTGGCCTTCTTATAATCCTATTGTGAATCCTATCATAAAAAGCCTAACTTGATACCAAGTGATGACTTCATTATCAAAAAAAAAAAATCTTACACAAAATTCAAAGAAAAATGTTAAGTTTTCTGATAAACTATTTGCCAGAGGACAGGCAAAAGGTCAGTTTTATTTTGTTTTTATCTAGAAAAAGATGGGTAGTTGAAACATTTTTATTCTTCAACAGGGGCTGCAGGAATGACTCTGTGGTTAAATCTCTTCCGAGGACTTGGGTTTGGTTCCTAGCATCTACATCAGGTGGCCCACAACCTCCTGAACTCTGGTTCCAGGGGATCTGATCCCTCTGGTCTTTGGTGGTCTCTGCATGTAAGTGGTGTACATAAAATTACCCAGGTGTATAAATGACCACACATATAGAAAGCTTTTTTAAAAAAGGTTTTTTTCTTAATAAATTAACAATGAATTACAAATCTGGAGACTCACTGGCACTCTTTCACTGAGCTCATACAATCACCCAGTACAGATTTTGGAAGGACAATTTGTTATAAAAACTGTTAATCATTTCATAACTCCAGGATTTCCTCATTAGCTGATCTGTAAGCAGTGGGAATTTTAAGACAGCCAAAGCTGGGTTTGACTGGATATGCTTCTGTGTATCCGATTTCTTCAGTTCCTTCTCAGATTGAGAAAGGATTACTGCTGTTGTGCACGTAACACCCTCAGTCACACAGCTCCAGAAGGACAGCCTTTCAGGACACCAAAGGTGGGCAGAGGAAGGGAAGAGGTACCAGCTGCACACAAGCAAAGGAACTGAGTACTTTTATCAATGACTCAACATCTCCTATCGTGCACTCAAACGCCTGAAATTGGGGATATGGGGGGCTCCAGGTGATGCTCCTCTCTGAGGGACTCCGCTTGATTCAAAGCTTTTACCTTAACCAGGATAAGAATTATTTCATTGACTTCATTCCTGTGAGGAAAAAAAAAAAAAAAAAAAAAAGCATTTACTCCCTTCTAATGCAGTAGAGGCTAGAGGTGTATGAGCGACAGGAAGCCATTAGCATGCAGTGGCCCTAAGTTTGATTCTTAGGACAAAACATAAGATGAAATAAAATGAAAGATAGAGAGATATTTAAAAGAAAAAAAAAAAAAAGGAGCCAGGCGTTGGTGGTGCACACCTATAATCCCAGCACTCGGGAGGCAGAGGCAGGTGGATCTCTGTGAGTTTGAGACCAGCCTGGTCTACAAGAGCTAGTTCCAGGACAGCCTCCAAAGCTACAGAGAAACCCTGTCTTGAAGAACCAAAAAAAAAAAAAAAAAAAAGGCTGTAACGTGTGAAGGGAATCACAGTGTTGACTCAGGACTGAAACAAGCTCCACCTGACAGTATCTAAAGCCACACAGAATACAAAGATGTGTTCCCTTTACATCATGGGTGAAGTGCTGGTCAATCCCTAAGGCACAGTGACACTAGCTATCACGCCACACTAAAACATGTTACATGCTCTGGTGCTGCTGTCATGAACAAACATGTGCTAGTAGTTCCATAAAAGCATTAACACATACAGCTGTGCACATTACACAATATTCAACCTTGAACACATCACTCATTTTTGTATTCACTACACATGCACATTCCAGCCTATGGCAGCAGCCTGGATCATATCTATTTGCATGAGCATACTGTACAGATATAAAACAGCCCAACGATGTATTTCTTAGACTGACCCCAGTTTCATATACCTCATGATTGTAATTACAAAGTCCAAACACAGAGTATCCTGGAAAATTTGAATGTGACTGGAAATAAAAAGCAGAAGACAGAGCAAGCCTGTCACCAAGGTCTCCACAGTGCTGTGCTGCCAGCTTCTACAGTCACTTTGATGCCCCCTGGGAAGAACAGCCACACCAAGACCTCATCAACACTACAATGCCTGGTTTGTGAGGACTTGGATTGAACCCAGGGCCTTGTGCTACTAGGCAAATACTCTGCCAGACTAGCTACATCCCTAGACCCAGACTTCAAAAATTATAGTAAAAGTGCAAATCTTCCTTAAAATTGATGAAAACATTCAAAATCCTTGAAGTATGCTTTGGAGATGAAAATTTAAATAAGCATTACCTGAATTCACCTGTGGACAATTTATGTGCAGACTGCAACAAAAACTGAATGAAGTTTTCTAGTTGGGGAATGGATGTCCTCATAGCAGAGTTCTCAAACCATTTTTCTGGTAGACAAGCTGCTATCTGTGAAGACACAGCAGGTTTACAACACAAGAGCAAAGATTTCCCTCTCTGTCTCAAAGGTAACTTGACATTAAAAAGATCACTCTTGAGGGGCTGGAGAGAGCACTGGCTGCTCTTCCAGAGGTTTGACTCCCATAGTCCACATGGCAGCTCACAGCCATCTGTAACTCCAGTTCCAATGGATTTGATGCCCCCCCCCCTAACCTCAGGGACTACAGTCACACACAAGCAGGCACAACACCCACACATACAAAATACCTGAAATGAGGGGGAAAAGTCACTTGATTACAAAAAATTCATTGCTAAAAGCTTAAAGCAGATTGAATCTGCTCAGTGCATTGTTTAGCATGCTTACAATTCCACAATCTACACGAACATACGAGAGAAGGGATGAACAGGTGATTCTAAATAAGTTGAATGGAAGAAAATTAATGACAATTTGTCCTTTACCAGTGTGCCTTCTATGTCCATGGAGGTCAAAGAGACCAATGTAGTGCACACAAAACAAAAATCTTCCAAAAATAACACAATTTTGGGGAAAGACAGAAAAATGTTGAAAAAAAATGACTTCCTCATAGCAACAAGAAGGAAAAGGGAAGAGGAAAATACGGAGTCCTGGACAGTCAAGCAGGCCACTGGTAAAATTAAGACTAGGATCTGTAGGAAGGAGAAAGCAAAAAGCAACACACACACACACACACACTCACACACGGTAAGGGAATACAAGCTCTGGAAAGCATCTTATTAAAGAAATCTGGTGGCAGCCTTAAAACAGGTAGGTATCTGTAATTCTAGCATCTGAGAGGCCTGAGGCAGAAAGGGATCTGAGTTCAGGCCAGCCAGCCTGCTTAGGCAGCACAGACAGATCCTGTCTCAAAACAATGACAGGGCTGGGTGTTGCTGAATGTGTAGGTGGCTGCAGAACAGGTGTTTAGAGCATGTGGGGCTCGAGTCTGACTCAGCAGCACCAACAAAAGCAATACAAAGTAAACAAAGGTCAGGAAAACAGACTTACTGTATTGTGTTCTTTAATTACTGAGAAAAAAATTGTAGACGTGACTGCAGAAGGCAGAAGCATGGAAGATTTGCTTGTCAAATTGTTCCCCAAAGTCTTGGAACCTGTCTTCACTGACTAGAAACTTACTGTCATTTGTCCTGGTTTCCAGTGCTTTGCTATCTTACACATACATGGAAGTTCTCATGGAGCCAGCAAGCCTGTCCATAAATGAGGTGGAGCCACATTCTGCTGGCTGTGGCCTGCTTCTCAAACCCTACTGTGGAGAAGCTGTGTACACACACTTGACAGTCAACCTGAAAACATTCTACACAGAGAATGATTTCAATTTAAGAACTATGATAATGATGAGATTACAGATGTGCTACCAAGCCTGGCTCCCTAAGCACCATTTAATACCATGCTTTTTGCCCTATGGGCAGATCAACCATTTTGAGGACATTTAGGTATTGTAGTGTTTTGAATAAAAACACCCTCCCTAGGTTCACATATTTGAAAATTTGAACAACTGGTCCCTTAGCTGATGGCGCTGCTTGGGGAGGTTATGGAACCTGTGGGAGATGGAGTCTTACCGGAATAAGTCCATCACGGGCACTGGGTGGGGTTTGAGAGTTCACACAGCCTGGCACCACTTCCCATTTGCTTTGTCTGTGGCTGAAGATGTGATTGCTCAGCATCACCCCGCTGCCAGGCCTCCCCCTCCATTAGAGTCTTCCTTTGAAACTACAACCCCAAATAAACTCCACCCTCTTTAGGGGTCCTTTGGACATGACGTTTTATCGAAGCAACACAAAAGTAACTAATGCAGGTAGTTTGGGATATCTCAATTAAATAATGCTATAATCTTTTTTGTGCTTAATATCTCTATGTTCAGCTTTGCTTTTTGTCCTAGGATAAATTCTTAGAAGTCAAAGTTTAAAACTTTAAACACTGTCCTGAAGAGCCAGCTGGGTTGCTCCTGCCAGCAACAGGACCTATTTTCCAGAACCTGTGCCCCTCACTCTGCAGGACACATGGCTTCTAAAGCCCCAGAACGGTAGCAGCTCAGGCTTACACCACAACTGGGGATTTTAGTTAAATCATAGCAGCAAAAGCTACACATTCCCTAACTGCTGGTTGTACAGGACAGCATCTTTACAGGACGTTAGCTGGCAGTTCTCTGTTGGCGCTGTCACTCTGTGCCACCCTGTTTGCAGGTTCTTTCCCATACCTATTTGTGGTGACTTGACTTGTATATTTTGGGGCCATTTCCAGGAAGAAATCTTTGAATTTGCTACTGGCCTGTGAAGACTTTCTAAATTTGATGTGGATTTTAATCTTACAGCTTCTTTCCTAGTTTCTAACCTAGCTCTTTAACTCTTTTAATTTTCCTCTCTTCCTTTCCTTTTTTCCCTGCCTCCCTTCTTTCTTGGTTTGTCCTGAACTCATGATCTTCCTGCCTGAGCCTCTCAGGTAGTGAGACTACATGTGTGTCCTGACCACACTTGGACTCCTGGCATCATTTACTAAATATTTTCCCCACCACTGCTGTTTTAAACCAGAATACTGGTTCTTTTACCAAAGCAGCTTCTGGGCTCTGCTAAAATGATTTGTTTATTCATGTGTAAGCTCCACAATTTTAATTATTTGGTTATAATATAATATAGATTTCAATAATTAACACTTTAAGATTCATATATGTCTCTGTATGTTTGTGTGCAAGTTCCTGAAGGGGCCAGAAGAGGGCACTGGATTCCCTGTCAGTGCCGAAGTTACAGGGGTTGTGAGTGGCCAATGTGGAACTATGAGCTAATACACTCAAGAGCAGCATGCAATCTTAACCACCTAGACACCTCTCCGGCCCTACTACCTAAATCTCTGCTGTTGCTGTTTTGAGAGGGTCTCACCTTGTAGCCCAGGTTGGCCTGGAGCTTGCAACACTTCTCAGCTTCTTTAGTAATGGAGTTAGAGATGTAAGCCACCACACTGAGATTTACATGCATTAATGACATAATTAGAAATGGCTTCTATACAGCTTACCTGGCTGCACTTTTTAACAGCATCTGGTCCAGGGATGGCATTCGTAAGAGCAATAATAAGATAGCGATTCAGCAGCTTCCCCAGTCCTAGATCTTGCAAGGTATCATCTGAGAGAAGCCCATTCCAAAGAAGGATATTGCGGAAGAGCTAAAAGAAAATACCAAGTAATTATGTATGTTCTCCTTAGAAACTGTAATGGTAAATAAAGAACTGGTCAATCTCCCCCTAGCAACTCTCACTAGTTGGGCCTGTTGTAAATGTCAGCTTTGGAAAACATCCCCAAGTAAATACCTGATTCTCACCTCCATGTATTTGCTCATCCTATTTCCATTTTTAGGGTAACCAACCCCAGTATGTCTCATGTAACTCCAGTGGAGCCTCTCCAGATCAGTGTCCTACTGTAACTCATCTTCTTACTGTCTGGGGCCACTAAGTAAGAGTGTGGGTTGCCAGGATGAGAAAGCACTGGCCAGGCCAGTGCCAGTGTTAATAATGTGTGCTGCTGGAGGCCTGGCAATGCCACAAACCTCACTGCTGATATGTAAAACAAGACAATCTAAGAGTCTGCCGATAACAGGGGTGAAGTACCCAATATAAGATCTACAATAAATACTTGTATTTAGAGGGCTGAACCCAGAGATTTCTGTGAATTGTGGTGAGAATTCTGGGTCTTCTCCCAGGATTCTGAGTGCTGAATGACATTGGGTTACTAACAGGCCACACTTGACACTGTCATTGGCATCACTGACTGTCCTGGAAAGCATCTTCCCTGACCTAGCCATGACACACATTCACTTACTGCACCATAACATGTATGTCCTAATTCTCAAGCACAATGGACATCTTTACTACCCCTCAAGCCTTTCTCATGGCATTTAGTATTGATTTTCATTCTTGGGTTCTTTGAGGCACAAAGGTTCACAACTCATTATAAGGTGCATCTGAAGATTCCCAACCCCACTCCATTCCCCAGGCTCTATCCTAGACTTCTCAGAGCATGTCACTCACGGCCAAATACTGCCCATGCATAACTGATGCCAAATTCTCAGTTCTGGCCTAAGCCCTGGAATTGACTTGTATGTCACCTGTACTGTGATACATCTCCACAGTTCTGTGTGATTTACTGCATCCAAAGCAGATTTCAGTCTCTCCCAAGCCTGTTCTTCCTGCATCTCCTACAATGGCTAAGAATGACAGAAGCACCAGGTGCCAACGTCACGCACCTGGCTATGATCAGCCTTATGTCCTCACATGACACTAGTCAGCTGTGGAATCCTTTTGATGCTTCATCTGAAGTGTCATTTGAATTCATCTCCTTATCATATCTACCTCCACTGACTCGCTTTTGGCTTTCCAACCAGGGGGTAGCCAGGTATGACCCCAATGCTTCAAATTCAACCCAATGCTTCTTTTGTAGGGTCCATGAGACAAAAAACTGCTTTTATATTTTTTAAAGGACATTTAAAAAATACTAAAAAAACAAAACAGAATAAGGCTATAGGCACATGCCTATAGTTCCAGGACACAGGAGGCAGAGGCAGGAAGGCCTATTATGGAGTGGAAGACCAGCCTGGTCGCCATAGCAAGGACCAGGCCAGCCAGGACTATATCGTGAGACTATGTCTCAAAATAATAAAACAAAATAAACCCTACACAGAATATTTTTAATATGAGAAAATTATGTGATGTTCAAAGTTCAGTGTTGATATGCACAGCTTATCCAAACACCAAGTTTATCTGCTTACATACTGACAGCCTATTAGTTTGTTAGTACTGTAGTGGCAGAGTGGAGTTCAACACATACTGTATGGCTGCAAAGATTGGTATAGATAGATTTTTAAAATAGTATTCTGCTTACCTTTAAAGCGCCCCAGAACTGTCTTTCTTGGAACTTTGAATGTGGTGACATTTTTCCTTCTTCAGAACTAATTTGAAATAAATGAGGAGGAGGGGGGAAGGAAAGGAAGAAGAGGGGAGAGGAAGAAGAGATACAAAGGACTCTTTCAGAATAAAACCGCAAAAAAAATAGGACTTTTTCTTGTGTGTATATCTGAAGGTCTGTGTGTAATTGTGCACGTGAGTGCAAAGTGCATTGCCTGCAGAGGTTAGAAGAGGCCATTGGAGTCCTTGGAGCTGGAATTACAGGCATCTGTGAGCTGCCCAACCTGGGTGCTGGGAATCAAACTCTAGTCCTCTGGAAGAGCATCACACTCTTAACCACCAAGCGATCTCTCCACCCCCTATTGTTTAGTTTTAATTAAGCAACTAAACAACCTAAATGAAAAATGAATCAAGGTACTCTGATGGTATCTACCAAGAAATGTAGATACCAAATGTATCTACAAATGTATCCCCAATCTGCCAACAGTGAGTTTCTGCAAGTGTGTTTTGTAGATATGATTGCCCTTGCACAGAATGGTATTTATCTGCCAGTTTGCTTATAACCTCATTGATGGTAAGAGATTACCACTCACATGTGGGTCAGTTACAGGGCACCTACATGCTTGTTGTGCAGTTGAAAAAAATGAAGAAAGTTACTTACATGATGACATGAAATAACTTAACACTATACTAGTGAAAACAGTACAAAACTGCTTGTACCTGCTTATAATATACTCCATCTTATATAGAAGGAGGGGGAAATAAGACTACAGCATATATAAGATAAATGGCAAAATCTGCAGTCAGAAATCAGGGTAAGAGTAAATAAAACTCATGTTAGGGAACTGGAGAAATAGTCCACCAGTTAAGAGCACTTGCTGTTCCTGCAGAGGACATAGTTCAGTTCCCGGCACCCACAGTTGTGTGGTTCACAACTGTCTGTGTAATTCCAGCTCCAGGGGATCCAATGATCTCTTCTGAGCTCTTCAGGGACACATGTGGTACACATACATACACAGCAAATGCTCACAGTGTATCAATCTTAAAAACAAAACATCTTTTTCATTTTAAAGATTCACTTGATTTTAGTCAAAAGGCTCAGAAGTGATTGCTTTAAATAAATCACTCACATATTTTGAACTACGTGAATGTATTAGTTACCTAAAAGTATAAAAACAAAACTTACTGGGGCATTAATTTTTACTTGCAGATACCTCCTCCTGACTCAAATCAGGAATCTCCAAGTATACTCCTACCCTCCCCAACTCCCATCTTGGGAGTATCATTGGGTAGCTACAGTTCACAAATCTCACTACCAAGAAGGCTTTCTTGGCAAGTATATGAGCATAAATCGATCTCCGTATTCCCTAAGATGAAGGGAGTTCACAGCTGCATCCACAATGCCCTAGGCTGTGCTACGCTTCCTCTGTACATGTCACTGCTCTGTTCTGAACACTGTCTTCATCATCCTGCTGTCCTGTGGAGTAGCTACTGATTTCTTCCCCTTGTTCTGATGACAATGACACAGCAAGGGCCTCAGGTCAAACCACCAAGAAATGTTGGAGCTAAGAATCCCTATTCTTTACTTCTCTAGGCTACAACCTCCTGACACTAGGGTAAATTTAAAAATAAGAAACACTCAAATACGTAATGTTCAAGTGCCAAGCATCTTATGTGGTACACAGGAGATTTAGAGAAATGCTCGTGGAAATGTCAGTTTGCATCTTAAAACAGTATATACATTAGGTCTAGAAAAGACTATAGTGTCTTCTGCATTATATCTTTAAACAAATCTGTATTCTTTCAAGGCTAGACAGGATGGCACATGCCTCTGATTCCAGCATTTGGGAAGGGGAAGCAGGAGCACACACAGAATGATGAGTTTAAGATCATTCTCAACTTCGTAGAAAGTTCAAGAATAGCCTGCGTTATATCAGGCTGTGTCTTATACAACCCCATTTCCCTCAAAGGAAAAGCTATTTCCAACAGTATAAAAATAGGAGCTCTTACCTCTTTGGATATAGAGGAATAAAAACATCATCTTCTATTGATTTCTTAATTCTTCCAACAACAGATTTAAGCAAATCCTATTTAAAAATTTGGAAAGCATCATCATGCCATAATTGGAAATACAGTAACCAAGTCAAGTAATTTTAATAGTGTAAATTGGTCTGTAGTCAGAGCCAACTGTTACAATACTGTAAGAAACTTAGGAGATGCATGTGGTTGTCACTGAATCACTTTCACTGCTATACTGCATTTTGTTTCATGAATACTACTCATTAGACACTTAATGGGCTCCATTATGCTTAATGATGCTATAAAATACCTAGCAGAACTCTCTAGTATATACAAGAATAGTTTAAATAGGTATATACACTGAAATGGAATTGCTGGAATATAACTCATGACCTTATATTCAACTTTGTTCAGAATGATAAACTAAGATGGTAGCATCTGATACTGGAAACCCGATGTCTAGAGAGAGATCATAGACCCTAGGGTCGACCTCCCCACTAAAGTTTAGTTAATTGATGTGGCATCAATCTGCAGCCTAAATATTTATGTTTATATCCATAGACAAATGCTACTCATTCTTAACCAGAGAAGTTTGTCTTTGCGGTAAATGGGGATCAATGCAGAGAGCCGTGTGCTCAGTCCCAAATAGGACACTTAAATTACCACTCCCTAATTTAAGGCAAAAGGAATGCTGTAGAAGAGACAATGGGAAGAATATAAGAGCAGAAGACAGGGAGAAGAGACAGGGAATGCTATCTTCAGGACTTGGCACAGCCACGGCAACATGAGATCTGAGCAGTAGTGGCTGTCTGCACAAGACTGGGAAGTCAAAAGCCAATCACGGATTGGGGACGTCATGGGGCCCTTTCCTTCTGATTCCTTCAAGTCTTTCATAGAGTGTAGGTGTGGGGCTTTGTTGGCTTGTCTATGTCCTTTGACACAGTAAATTCACATTGGATAATTCATTTGGTTTGTGTATCAATAATTATAAATGATGCAAACATTGAATTCAGTAATTCAATTTAAGGACATTATATTATACCCATTTATTGGATGAAATAGTAGCTAAAGCCTTTGACAACGATATACGTAAACACTCAGATCCATTAGGATAACTGAGAATAAAGGCTGAGTGAAAATATCCAGCCCTAATTACCACTATCTCAAGATGAAGAGATGATGGGGCTTTAAAATATTCCAGGTATCAGCAATACTTCTATAGTGACACATTGTTCTCATTCTTAGAAAGATTCCATTTTTGAAAATTGAAATCAGCTTACACTACCAATAAAAAGATGCCGTATGTAACACAAATTAAACTGTTACATACCCTCTACCAAGATTATTTGTTCATAAATGTACAATTTAGGCAAATGTATTTTTCTATAAAAGCATACTGAGCAAAATGGAATTTTATTTCTTTTTCTACTTAATTATAAGTAACATATACTTTAAAAGCCCTATATTAATACTTACAACATCAAAAACAAAACTCAAATGTTACTTTACCCCACCTTTTAAATACTTTGAATTCTGGCTTTAAAAGAAGGATCACTTTCTAGGTAAGATCCAAACAACAGAATCTGAGCTCATATAAATTATTTTATTTACTTTTTGTGGTATTAGGTATTGAACTCAGGGTCCCACAAATGCTAGGCAAGCACTCTACCATTGACCTAAAACCCAAATCTGCAGAAATCATTACCTGTTTGCTTTTACTAACTTCATTTTCAGAAGCCAACTGTTCAAAAAGCAGTCTGCAGTGCACAGTTAAACTTCTTGTCTGTGAGGTTGACATTGGATCCCAAATAAACTCTACAAAATCTGAAACACATTTCTGTGGTTACACAAGTCACTACACTGTTTGCTTCTCATGTACAAATAGCCAAGGTCTTTAGCACACCCTGTTTCACTCTTTACTGAGGTTGAAATTCATGGTCAATCATGACATTTCCTATTTACATATAATTTCTAATCATTACCACCAAATTTCAAATCATTACCATTACCAAATCCTCTTTGCATATACTCTCAATTTCTTCATCCTCCTTGGGTTTTGCTACGCCTGTCAAGTTAACCTACAAGCCTAGTTAAATTCACATTCTCACTATGTCTGCAATCTGCAGCTAAAATGTAGCTTTAAAGAAAGGTGTACCGCACTCATCTCCCAAAATTCAAGTGGGCCTGCATATCAGACAGGAATTGCTTTCCCCAGCCTACTCACTTGCCTGGCTAACTCTCCTCCTGGTTCTCACTTCAGTTGAAGGATCTCTCCACTTTCTTCCTCTCCCTACCCTCATGAGTATGGATACATGTTCATGTTTGTGAGTACTTGACTGTGTGCGTGCATGCATGCTTGCATGTGTGCGCTTACCAGGTTTTTATGTAGGTTCTGGGGGGACCTGGACTCTGGTCCTTACTATTGAGTGCAATAGTTTTAAACACTGCACTATCTCCTCAGCTCCAACAATCCCTAACACTTTCTCTAGTACTGTCGACCATTCTCTTTCCTTTTACAACAAAATTCCTCAAAGTACTGTTTAGATGTCTCTCTGGTATTTCTCTTTCTGGAATCCTCTCAATCAGGCCTCGGAACTCTCCACAGAGAGGTAAGTGCATCTCTCAAGTTAAACAGGACATTTGCATAGCCAACTCCAAAGACTGATTTTAATTCTTCTGTGGCTACTGTCAACAACCACAACTGGGCCCCATCTTCTCCCTAGAAATACTTTCTTTGCTTGGATTTTGGGACACTGTCCCCCTGGTATCCTTCTCTGGACTTTACTGGGTACTTGTCACTTGTGTGACTTTTAAAGGACCTTAGGACTTTGCAAAGGACCTTAGAACTCAGTTCATTTCCTTCTCATTCCTTATTTCACGTCACTTTGTGGCATTAAATGCCATCAAAATACAGCTACCTCCTGCCTGATATACTCAGCAACCCAGCTGACACTCCACTTAGTGATGGGCACCCCAAGCAGCACAGCCCACCAGAGCTCCTCATTACTTCTACTCCAACCTGCCTCCTCCAGATTCCTAATTCAGGAAAAGGAAACTGAGTCAAAGCCATGGAACCATTCTTGATGCTCTCCTGCCCCAAAGAGGATCCTTCAGCACTCACTGGGAGTACTGTCTCTGGAACACACAGAATCAACCGCTAAAGGGCCTGGACCACACTCAACTCTTTATATATTAAGCTCCCTAGTCATGGGATGGCTGGCTCAAGCAGAAGAGTTTGGATTTTTTTTTAAAAGAAAAATCATTGTTTAAAGGGAATAATAATCTTCAAAGCTCAATCAAATTAAACTCATTCTCCAGAGTACGGTAAAAAGATTCTGGTCAAATGCTGTTTTAGTAAAAGAAGCCTTTAAGGACAGAAGTTAATAGCTGCTAGTAGCAAGTGCATGTGAATTGTTGGGCTCTCAAAGAAGGAGAAATGGAGAAGAAATGTAAGAAAAGGGAAAGAAATTCATGTAACACATATGACAGTGTGCCATTATTGACAAATATCACAAATGACTTAGTGTGCCAGCACTACTAGTGTGGACAGCCAACGCTTGTACAAATAAGCGTTTTCCAACCAGGTTAACTACATTCACTGCATTCTCCGTGTCTCCAAACTTCTCAGAGGATATTTGTGATTATAACAGAATCAAGATTACCTGCAAGGCGAGGAACAACTGTCTTGTTGATGACAGCAGACAACATTTTTTTATCGGAACCATCCTCCTCCCTTGGGTCTTCTGAGCTGCCATCCATAAACTCTGTGATGGATGTGAACCAGGGCATCTGGTTTAGAGCCATGGAGTCCAACTGTAAAATGAGATTATAAAAGTTATAATGTGTGTTTTATAAGTTAACTTCTTCCCAAAATCCCTAGGAATTTTCTAAAGGTCAAAGAGAATAATCACTTTGATTTTACCACTGTGTAAACATCACTAGACTACCAAGGTAAGGCAGGATGTCATGATGACACAGCAGAGGAAGAAACTGCTTCACGAATTCATCCACACAACACAAATGCCAGGACATTCAGAGACCAGCAATGGCAGCAGCTTACAGTGAAAAAACATGTATGACATACGAGTTAGGCATTTGGAATTGCTATGAGATTTACTGATAAAACTCATTCATCTGCCTCAAGCAAAACTTACTTCAGTCCTTTCATTACTCTTAAGAATAAATGTGTAATCTGCTTGTGGTTTAGCTTACTAACCAATTAGCAAACAGCAAATGGCTGTTACTACTCTAGCAGATGAATGAAATATCCTGAATGGTTAACCCCAGGTGCTGCCCATACAACTCCCTACAGTTTCTGAGAAATGACCTTGCTCTATTCTGAGAATTGGTGTGGTCCTATGGAAGATTGCAGACAGATGATTAAGACCAAGGAAGAGACACACTGCATCATTTACTCTCGCTGAGAGCTTTCCTTATAGAGCTTCATTCTCCAGCATGCAAGATCTAGGCCTTGGGGTGTCTTCACATATGGAGGGTTACAGCTACTCTGTATTTTACTAATTCTTACTTTGTAACGGTGCTTATAGTCCAGGACCTCCTTTGCTAGGCTTACCCTGAACTTGAGTTATATCACAGTCTTCTATATTTTATTTCTTCTCCCAAGTTAGCTACATCTAGTAGCTTCCTAAAACATTACTTTCGAGTCCCCAAGATGACTCAGCAGGTAAAGGCACCTGCTACCAAGACTGATGACCTAAGTTAGATCCTTGGGACTCACATAACAGAGAGAACCAACACCCACAGTGTCCTCTGAACCCAACAAGTATGCTATACCATGTATGCACCTCAACACACATACACACATGAATGTAATATAACAGTTTTTAAAACTCCACATTACCTCCCTATATGACTTTTCACATGACTTTGAAAAACTAGCTCTCAGCGCTGAATCCGGGTTTGAAGGCCAGCGTACTCACGCCTGAACTGGCATTTCCCCTGCCTTTCAGGAAAGCATCCTCCTTGTGAACTCCAGCACACGCCTAAGGCCTCACTTACATGCCTCCTCCTCAATGTGTTTCGCTAACCAACTCTTCCCAGTTTGTCATCTCTGACTTCATAATCCTCAGAACAGGTTTTTAAGTAAAATTTACCAAACCTAATGCTACATAATTCTAGGGAAACTTTTACACATTATAAAAGTATTAAAAATTGTTTGAATTACTGATGTTTGGTCTTACTATGCTTTGGAATCAAGCAACATGGCTGGGGATATAGTCATGGTTTACTGATTGTTTAGTACACACAAGGCCCTGGGTTTCACCCCAACATCACAAAAAAAGAAAAATCATGTTAAGAGGAATGTAGTTTAGAGTATACATTTCTGGACAATTGTTCCAAGGTTCTAAATATTACCTACAACTGTAAGGGTAAATAGTTTTGTTTTTACTTTTTTAATGATGTTCATTTACTTGTGTGTGTGTGTGTGTGTGTGTGTGTGTGTGTGTGTGTCTGGAGGCAGAGAACAACTTGTGGAATTTAGTTCTTTCCTTCCATCACATGAGTTCCAGAGTCTGAACTCAGGTCATAAGTCTTGGCAGCAAGTACCTTTACCTGCTAAGCCATCTTGCTAGGTTGAAGTTTCCATATTTTATAGTTAGCCTGACGGCCAGGGCACACAAATGGCTGACATGACCAGGACAGTCACATGTTAAGCACTGATACCTTCAGAGGATTCCAATCAAGCAACTGAACTCGTATCAGGGGACTTAAAAGCTTTGGTAAGCAGAAACCAACGAAGGCTTCGTAGTAGGAATCAGGAAACTTTTCTCGCCACTGCTGAAATTTCAATAAAATATTCTGGACGTTACAAAAATCATCATGCACATCTTCAAAAACTCTCTTACAATCTTGTAAAATGTCACCTGCAAACAAAGTAAGTCTCTTTATGTTATGCATTTTAAGCCTACTTCCTTAACAATAGTTAGTTCTGACTTACTATTTAATCAACTGGGCTGGAAACTTTATTTTTTATACATTCACTTTATTTAAAGTCACTCTAGTAACAAAACATAATATTGACACTAATAAAGCCTCTCATCTATTGAGTCCCTATCTATATGCCAAAATATCATACATTTATTGTTTCATTTTATTACCATAGATAAAACCCACTGACTTAAATAAAACAAGCAAGCAAAGGACACTGAACTGAGGCAGGCAAGGCAAAAAGCCCCTTTCCACTGGGTCTGGTGAACAGCAAAATCCAGAATCTTTGAGCTGCACTATGAACCTTCTCTGGTCACCTCTCAGCAGCGTACAGACATGGGAGAAGAGCTTAACCAACTTAACCTGTACTCAGGCACAGGGTTAGAACCCAGAATTCACAGAGAACCACAGAGATTAAAAACCAAGGAAATAAAACTGCCAATCAACAACTGAGCTAATAAATGAACACTTTCAAAGGAAACACAAATGGCTAATAACAATTTTAAAGCTGCTCAACATCCCTAGTCATCAGGGAAGAACATATTAAAACTACTTTGAGATCCTGCTTCACTCTAGACAGAGAGGCCATCAAGAAACCCAACAGTAAATGTTGGAGATGACATGGGGAAAGAAGAACCTTATTCATGGTCAGTGGGAGTGAAAATTAACAAAGCCGCAAGGCAATCAGTTTGGACATTCCTTAAAAAAATTTAAGAATCAATGACCTGGGGGTTGGGGGGGGTGGTATGTGAGGAGGGGAAAGAGAGGGAACTGGGATTGACATGTAAAACAATCTTGTTTCTAATTCAAATAAAAAGACATGGGGGGGGGGAATCAATGACCAGCTATTTCACTCATGAGCACATATCCAGAGGACTCTATACCCTAAAAGATATCTGCACATCCTTGTTTTTGGTACTCTATAAGAAAGGAAATGGAACCAAACAGGACGACCATCAACACATGAACTGAGAACCTGGTACATATAACATGGAATACTATTGAATGCTAAAGGAAAATGAAACCACAAAATTTTCAGGAAAATGGATGGACTTGGAATGTATAAAACTGAGAAAGGTCAACTAATCTCAGAAAGAAAAACACTTCATATTCTTCCTCCTATTCAGATAGTAGCCTATACTGCACACATCTCCATGGAAACAAATTAAGTGTTAAGTATAGTATGTAGAAAGGAGAACAAGAAAGGGTAATATTAGGGGATAAAAATGCAGCTAAAGGGTATACAGTCATGAAAGGATCTAAGGCTACATGCTTTTCTAGTTTCAGTTCTGTTAGTTTGTTTGTGTGTTTGTGTGTGTGTGTGTGTGTGTGTGTCTGTGTGTGTGTGTGTGTGTGTATAAACAGGCATGGTAGATAAGTAGTGTAGTGGAAAGAATGAAGAGCCCAAGTATTAATACCCCGCTCTTAATTCAAGATCCAACATCTTTCAACACTACTACAAGAACCCTCCAAAGGCTGTGTGGGACAGCACTGCTCTGGGACAGGCACACAGGGTCTTCCATAGTCTGTCCAACAGGAGCAGCTACACCTTTTAATAAACTTTTGCTACTAAACTGAAAAAACAAAATGCAACTGATAATGAAAGCGCACAACCCCAAGGAGGCTCCAGGCTAACTGTGAGGTTCACTGAGATGCATAGTTGGGAACTTGGCAAATGTGTCTGTTTTGAGGATTTAATTTAATGTAGCTTCATGATGCTTTTATTCTGAGTTCATTACATTAAAGTGATTTTCTTAAAAGTGGTTTTACTAAATTAACTATTTTAAATTACAAATGGTAGCGCACAAGGAAAGCAATGCAGCCACTCTGCTCTCTTGTGTGACCCAGGAGGCGGCAGATGGCCTGCAGTACCAGAGCACTCGCATCACCCTTCTCCAGAGAAGAAGTCTCTGCAGAAAATGCCTTCTGTCTTAGTAACACGGATTTAAAGGCCCCTACAATGCTGGGCGGTGGTGCATGCATTTAATTCCAGCACTCGGAAGATGAGGCTAGCCTGGTCTTCAGAGCAAGTTCCAGGATAGGCTCCAAAACTACACAGAGAAACCCCCGTCTAGAAAAACAACAAAACAACAACAACAACAAAAAAGGCACCCACAACAAAGCTTTCCTCACTATTTCAACACTTCAAAATAGGTTAGACAATTGACCTTGGCGTTTTTGGAAGTTGGTCATCTCAGCAGGAGCTAGCTCATCGTCACTAGAAGTCCCCTCCTGATGGTCACAGTTGCCAGAGAGCGCCCTTGCTTGTCTTCTCTGCATCCTGCATTGTGCAATAGAGTAAGCCAAAAGCAAATAGTTCTTATGAAAAATACTTAAAACAAAAACAGTATTATTGTTCTTTAATGGACACATCATTGTACTGACACCATTTTATGTAACTATTTCAGGTCTTCTGTTTCCTTAGCATCTTTGGTTTTTATGTTGAACTCAGATCATTCTCTGAATGGAAAGGCTTCTTAAAAGGAGTGCATGCAACCAGTCAGAAGTGGCTGCTAGTTCAAAGCAATCCTCCTAGCAAAGGCCACCTCACCAATCCTGCCCTGAGCCCCCCTTTGTCTTTAGAGCAGTGAGACCAGCTGACTCAGCTCTGGTTTTACAACAGTCTTGAAAGTCAGCCATGTTGGGTGGGGTGATTGTCTCATACAGCTAATTCTACTGAAACAGTGAAAAGGAATTGCTCAGTGTGTTAAGTCTTCACTTTGTACAGATACCTTCGAGCTTCAATCTCCTCTAAAATCCGTTGATCCTTTTCATCTGGAGCCAAGCTTCCATTTACTGATGTCTCAGCTTTGCCTGTTAAATGACAAAATTAGCTTTGTACTACAGTATCAAAATAGTGAATCACTGAAGCTATAGGTAATATCATGTGTGTGTGTGTGTGTGTGTGTGTGTGTGTGTGTGTGTATAGGAACACACAATGTACTCAAAATTCACATTGCAATGAATTTAAATGTCCATTACCTATCAGTGTTGACACTGTCAAGCCTGTTGGCCTAAATACACGTACCTTGCTGCTGTGTGCCTTTTAGCACTCAGCAGGTTTCTTTTCTCTCATTCTTTTATTTTTTTGTTTCTAGTAATTTACACCAAATTTCCTCCACAGTCATATACCAGAGATATTTACATTGCCAACATCTTACTTATACTATGTATGGCTTGCTCCCACTGTTAGCATGTCCCACTGTTTACAACTGACCAGATACAGGAACTTTACAATAAAGTGTCACCCACACAGGGATCTCATTCCCTAAAGCATCTCAAGCCAAGATGCTACTGTGGCTGCGGTGTGGTGTGAGGATGTGGAATGGCCATTCCTTACCTACCCTGCTGAGACCCACCCATCTGCGCAGGCCTCCAACTACAGAGATGGACTGCTGCAGAGCTGTTTCCTACCACTCTGCTCATCTAATGCATATAAACACTGTGTCAGGCGGCTGTGGAGGCGATCCAACAGTCAAGAGCACTGATTGCTTTTCCAGACGACAAGGGTTCAGTTCCAAGCACCCCCTTAGCAGGTCTTAACTGCCTGTAATGCCAGTCCCAGGGGCTCTGACACGCTTTTGAACTCCGGACACTCCTGCACACACGTGATGCCCTTACATATACTCACATACACATGCCTAGAAAAAAATACTTAAAAACAAATTCTGTCTCAAATGCTTAAGTGACTGGAAATTCTGCTATTTGATTTTTGACCTTATACAAGGTATATTGAAACTCTTCCTTGAACAGGTTTGGGTAAAGGATCAATGTGAAAATATAGAATAGGCTTTTGTACTGGCTAGTTTTACGTTAACTTGACACAAGAGTCATCAGAAAGGAGGAGACCCAACTGAGAAAATGTCTCCATAAAATATGGCTAAACACAATCCTTTAGGGTATTCTCTTAATTAGTGATTGATGTGGGAGGGCTACTGCTGGGTTGATGGTCCTGGGTTCTGTAAGAAAGCAGGCTGAACGAGCCATGGGGAACAAGCCAGTAAGCAGTTCTCCTCCATGGCTTCTGCATCAGCTTCTGCCTCCAGGTTCTTAACCTGCTTGAGTTCTTACCCTACCTGCTTTTGGTGATGAAGTGTTATATGGAACTGAGGAAAATAAACCCTTTCCTCCCCAACTTGCTTTTGGTCGTGGTGTTTCATCAAAGCAATATAATCCTAACTAGGACAGCTGTTGTTTTCTTTTAATTGTTTCTACCTTTTATGCTTCAGCTATCCTACTTAGCAACTGCAGCTCTGCTGCTACCAGCAGCCCCAAAAGGGCCAAAGCCCGAGGGAATTATGTTCCTACAGGCACCAACTCTTTCAAAGCTACTAAGGAAACTTACTTAAATCTCCGTCCCACTGAAGAACTCAAGATTCAAAGGTTGAGGTAGAATCTTGCTTCTCAGAGAGGTTAAATAGCAAGTAGCTCACCTACCCCACCTCCTCGTGTTTCCCAAGAAGTCCCTGTATTCATTCTCACTTCTCCTTATAAATCCTCTTCTACCTGGCTCCTCCTTATAACTTCCTGTCAGCTAGTTGCTGACCCAGCCTCCTGATCTTAGGTGAGTTTTATTTAATCAAACACATCTCTGCATCATTAAACAAATGTTCCAGAGTAGAAACAAAATTACATACCTTAAATTAATATTCTACAACAGACAGCTTTTTTCTTTTTTTAAAAAAATTCAGAACTAAAAATACTTTTATTCTCCAGATGGCAATCTAGCTTAGTGAACAATGGAACATAAAAACCACTAACGTGATAACTGTTGCAAATAGGATGATTCACATTTTAACTCGTCTTGCCTGCGTTTCAAAAGTGCTTCTGATTGTTTAAAAAGCAACGTGTACGTGGATGACTCTAGTTCCTCAATTATGACAATCTGAAACACAGAAATCACATTCTGCAGTTATCAATGATGAATTATAAAAGAGAGTAAAAGGTATTATTTGTGATCACATGTACACATTCAATTCCAATTAACATATAGGACATACACACACTACTTCATGGGTAGAACAGACATGGAAAGCAGAGTTTTATTTATTTTTTTAACTATCTTTTTTCTTTTGAAGTTCTGTGGTTTAAATAACATACCTTGTAAAAAAGAAATAGAGTATCACAAAGTCAGGATTGAGTATGCACAAAACACAATGTGTAAAGTCAAAGGGTTAAAAACCTGTAGTTTAAAAACTTTAAAAAATACAAGTATTAAAAAACCCCAGTAAATTTTAGATCAAATTGGATAAACATTAAAAATTTTGAATCGGGCTGGAGAGATGGCTTGGTGGTTAAGAACCCTGGCTGTGCTTCCAAGGACACCAGTTCAGTTCCTAGCACCCGTACGGCAGCTCAGAACCATCTGAAACTCCAGTTCCTGGAAATCTGATGCTCTTTTCTGTACTCCAGACACCGAACACATGTGCTGCACAGACATACATGCAGGCAAAAACACTCATATAAATTAAATAGAAAATGTTTGAAACCTTAAAGATCTGTTTAAATTCTAAAAGCAAAGAGGAACAAAAAACCTCCCCTAGAACCAGGATGTGAACAGAGCAAAGGACTCTGAGAACTCACAAGAAAAAGATCCACACAGGGCATGGTGGCTCACACACATGGAATCCCACAACTCGGAGGCTGAGGCAGAGTGCTCACCACAAAGGTGAGGCTAAGATCAGCTACACAGTAAGCTCCAAGTCGGCCGAAGCTTCAGACTGGGACTTTGTTCACAAGCAAAACTAATGTAGCTAATAAAATGAAGGTCTTTGTTCCCGATCAAAATAGACATTTTACAGAATCTATTTGTTACGAATCTAGCAAAGTAATAAATCACCATTCATTCTGGAGACTGCTTTGACAATGTATGAACCTGAAAATTACTTATACTTAGCAATTACTTTTATTTTACAGTGATATGTCTTAGATGAAATTTTAACACAAAAAATGTATGTGTGATCCAGCCTTAATATGAGGGGCTATGCCTAGCCATATTGCAGCATGATATGCCACGTTTGGTGATATCCTTCCAAGACCTGCCCTTTCCTGAAGGGAAATGGAGGGGTGAATCTGGGGGAGAGAGAGGGTAGAGGAAGGGAAAACTGCAGTCGAGATGTAATATATGAGATGTATATATGTAAAATTTTATGTAATTTACAATAGCAACTAAAAAACCAAAAACCAAATGAAAACAAAAAACTCAAAACCTCCAAACCAACTAACAGTCCAGGTCTAACGTTAAAGAGAATGTGCAAATGCTAAAAATCAGTATGGAGGCATATTAACTGTAATTTCAGAACACAGGAGGCTGAGGCAGGAGGATTGTAAGTCAAGGCCACCCTGGGTTATACAGTAAGAACTGCTGAAATCCCACTCTGCCATGCCTCTTTACTTGTGTTCTTAGACTCAGAGCTCAGGTCCTCACGCTTGTGTAACACGGAGCTATCTACTCAGCCATCTCCTTCATCTCCCCAAAGCCATCTGCCTTTGCTAAATGACCAATGGGGGGGGGGGTTGCTTCATGCATAGTTATATATACCTTTTCATTTAGACAATCGATTATATTTTCCACATAAATTTTCATGCCTTTGTAGAATTTGTAGTTTAGAGTTTGATCAGATGCATTCTCCAGGTTCTGGATTGCAGTCTTTGAACTCTTGATGTCTTCTATATATTTTTCATATTCTCTCTGGTGCGAGCGATGAGTATCCTGTAGTAATGTTAATCTAAATAAAATAGAAGTTTCATTTTTCATACCTTTCCTTTTAAGCAGAATTCTAATGAAGATGTTTTCAAACACAACCAGGGAGAGTGATCACCATATAAATGTGTATTTACCTTGTGTGTGAACCCAGGGAGATCACAATTACCATTCTCAAAGGGAAAGAAAAAAGGACACCCACAGGGCTTTAGAAACAGAAGCTGACCAAAGGATTTATTTGTGATTTATTTATTTCTTGAACCTGGGTCTCTTTAACCTAAGCTGGCCTTAAATTCGCTATGTACCAAAAGGATGACCTTCAACTCCTGATCCTCCTGCCCCCACATCACAGGCATGCTCCACTACCTCCATTTACAGGCTAGTTTTAAGGTACACTGACTCAGTTTTAGGCTAAGATTCATCAAAACTTGCAAACTAGAAGAGTGAGTGCCAAGAATAACCAAAGGTTTTAATGAAACAAGGGAGTTCACGTGTTCACTTTTACATCAATCTGTAGTCTTGCTTGGAAGACTGAACGAGCTGGCATTAACACCATTTAAACATGTTATGGATTGGTATATACTTTATCTGGTTTGTGATTTCTGATGGACTGTTTTGCAATTAGAATTTGCTGCCCCACAGTGTCCATTCCATCTGATCCTATGCTGCTCTGCTAAAGTGAGGACAGTCTACTTGGTCCAGCCCTTGAGAGTATGGCACACATCAATTCAATGATTGCTTATCTTCTAAGTTACCTATCACAGACAAAAGTCAACAGAAACATATGAAATATATTTCTTTCATAGCAACTGGAATATCTGAATTCTGTAGATGCCTTAGAATTAGCAAATCAATAAAAAATGAAATAAATTCAAAGTATATGGACTTTAATCAGACTAAAAAAAATAATTAAACTAATCCTGATAACCTGGTTCTTAGAAGAACTGCTTTAGCCTTGCTCCTAAAGGCAGTGAAAAGACACTGCCTATCTAAAAGCACTTCCCTTATTTTGTGTAAATAAAAGTGGAAGCTGAGCTGGAGAGACAGCTTAGTCTGGAAAGTGCCTGCCCTGCAAGCATGAGATACCAGTGAGAGCTCCAGAATCCACATGACAAGGTTGGCATGGTGGCACAGTCATAATCCCAGCAACCCTCCAGCTCTGTCTAGCTAGCTTAACCTACTTGGCAGGTTCCTGGAACCTGATTCACACACATGCAAATGAGAGCTAAAAAATAATAACATATAGCAAATATCATTAATGAATTATTTGAAGTAGAACATTATTAGTGATAGATTTTTTTCTCTTTTTTTAGTGATAGATTTTCTAAGCATATATTATATTAAAAAGCCACACAACAGGGTATACATTGGCTTCTTTTTTTATAAAAAAAAAACTGGGGCAATATAAAAATGCCATGTACTTCTATAAGATACACACAGTAGGCAATTTCTAGAAGAAAATATAAAACTGGTGGCAAGTTTTCTTGGGAAAGCCAACTTTCTTTTTGGTGTGTATCATTTTGTACTGGTTTATTAAAAAAAATAAAACTTTTTTAAAAAAATAAAGAACCTGGTTGAAAACAGAATACAATAAAGTTAAAAGTAGCTTTATGTGTAACCTAGAAATGATGAACTTATGGGAACAGAGAGCAGAATTGTGGCTATTAGGCTTCAATGTGGGTCTTTTAACAATGGGGAAACGACTGGTTTAAGGATATAAAATGCAGTTGGGCAAGAGGCTTGGACTCTCTGAAGTCTTGAGGTCTACTGAAAGCACGATAAATATGGTTGATAACAATATGCTATATTTAAAAAGTTGTGAGATAGTATACTTTAAGTGTTCTCAAAACAAAAATGATGAATATGTGTGATATAACATGTTAATTGGTTTAATTTAGCCATGCCATTGTGAACATACTGTATTCTGTATCATAATTGTGCATGACTTTATTTATAAGCTAAATAAATGAAGGGAAAAAAAGTTAAAAGTAGCATTTACTCAGAGAATCTGAAACATTAATCTACATAAGTGACCCACTGTCTCTCATTCTATCACTCTCTCTGATACAATCCCTCAAGAAACACCACAGAGGTTCTAGTTTATATGCAATTCTAGATGTAGTAGCTTTAATTCTGTTTTATTATAACTAGGAAAGCCAATTAAAACACCAGTAAATGATGAGTGTACTTCAGAAATAGCCTCGAATCTGTTGAAGTAATTTCACTCCACATCACCACTACAGAACATTCACTTAGAAGCTGGCAGGTTTTATTCTGTAGCGGGTCAGACAGTAAATATCTCTGCTTTTAGAGCCACATAATTGCTCATGCCATTACTCAGCTCTGTGCTGTATCACCAAAGTACCCACGGGCAGTACTAAACATTCAAGCAGAGCTGTGTTCCAATAAAACTTCATTTACCAACACATGGTGGGCTGGAGTCTACCAACACCCCAGAATTCAGACACTAAATGCTGTACGCCTTAAGATTTCAACTATTTACTTCATACTATTACAAATTTTCTATAAAGATATCTTTAAGCAAACAGCTACAGCACAGATTCTTCAATGTGGTTAAGGAACTCAGTCACTTTAAAGCTGACTTACAGATACTAGGTAAAGAAAATTTGAAACTATTCTCAGGTAAGAAAAAAAACCTATCTTGAGCTAGTGGCTCATGGGTAATGCACAAGCCTGATGCCTTGAGTTCAATCTCCAGACCCCATGTAAAGATGGAAGAGAGAACTGACCCCTCAGAGCTCTGCTCTGCCTCCACCCATGTGCCATGCATGTGTGTGCACATACACTCTGAAAAAAAAAAAAAAATGAAGATACTCTTTAAAAGGCAGCAGAATTGAATGCACCCCTTGTACCAAACTGTCACTCAGGCTAATCAAACCCTGGCCATCACATCTACTTTCTCATTCACAGGGACGGGCAGACACTAGATTCTGAGTATATTCTATAATAAAATATTTAGAACAAAAGCCTCTGACAGGACATGTTATAATTTGAGCAAAGCACAGTCATAAGGTTAGCACTATCTGCTCAATGTAATTACCAATGCCCACAGTGTAAAAGAGAATTATGCTTTAGGAAGGCACTGTACCACGAGTTATAAAAATAAGCTCTTGGCCACAGTAAATTTTCTCTGTTAATGATTTTAAGAAAAAAACATGCACACACAGACCAAGCCAGATACAGTCTTACACCCCTGTAATCCCAGCACTAGGGAGGCCAAGGCAGAAGGATCATGATTTGAAGCCAGCCACAGCTATACAGTTATATCTGAGGCTGGCCTGGGCTGAAGAACAAGACCCTGCCTCAACAAACAAAATGCAAAAAAGCAAAGAGACATATTCACTACTATGGCAACATATGGATGAGACTTAGAACAGAGAAATAAATAAATTAACTGTAGGAACAAACATGAAATGTGTACTGCAGAAGGTGAGCATGATAACACACCATGGAAGCACATGGAGGCATATGTGACATAGGAACCCAAAGGATAGAAGTTCAAGGCCGGCTGGGCTACCAACCAAGATCATGTCTCTAAAGACAACACAAAACAAAACGACAAAATCCAGCAGTATAGAAAAATGCGTATAGTCATGTTAAGTTAAAAAATTGTTATTACTGTTTTTAACCATGTCAGGATTATCTGTCATTAAGACTGACAAGACAAAGAAAATCTACTGTTTATATGGTAAAATAATTTTTTTCTTATAAACCTGTTTAATATTAATGCTTAATAACTAAAAGAACATAGTGCTTTTTTTACTACTAATCACTGAGGACAAATGTAAATTATAAAATAAACATTACTCACCTATTATTTAATTGTTTCTTTATAATTTCCAAATTTACTGGTGGAAATGAAATGGAAGTATCAAACTTCTTCAATGTTTGAGAGTCACTCTTTGGGGAAAGGTCTATGTTTTGTCCCTTAAAAAAAAATGTGAAAAATTACTTTTTAAAAAGCACCTCATTTATCACACAAAGGAAACTAAATAACATTTCCAAGCCTTTGCAATACCATGGTCACAATAAAACATTAAAAAAAAAAAAAAAAAAACTTCATCAATTTTAGAATATATTAATGCCTTTTTCTCCAGCCAGGCACTGTGGTAAATGCCTTATATCCCAGCATCCAGATACCCTTGTTTACATAGCAAGTCCCAGGGCAGCCAGGGCAACATAGTGAGATCCTGTCTAAAGAAACAAACTCCCAAAGCAAAATCAAACAAATGAAACCAACCATCCCCAGCCTCCATCCCAACTCACCCCTGCCTTGGCAGTACTGAGGATTAAAATTAAACTGAGGGCCTGATATATGCTAGGCAAGTACACTACCACTGAGCTACAGTTCTAGCCCCAAGTCTATTAAATTCATATGTACAAAACAAATTTTAAAATTTGGATTTCCACAAAAGTTAGTTCATGAAGTTTCAGAGCTAGTTTTGCTGATTTTCTGATGCATTCTTGGAATTCATGCAGTTCTTAAAGAAACATGAGTAAGTAAAGCCACGGTTGTTTGGAATTTGGAACCTACAGAGAATGCATTCCTAAAAGAGTATCTTATCCTTAGTCTCTCTGGCAACCCTAGCTCATCACTACCACACTAGCTGTGTATAGCAGGTTCTCAAAGTCCACTATTTCACACGAGGACCTGAAGACAGGAACCGCTAACTTAAGTCACTGTTTCTATTTCCAGCAAGCAAAGATGCAGAGACGGCATGTAAAGGCAGAGGCAGGGACTGCAGTTCTGTAGTCATGGCTCCAGGAACACACAGAGCACCCAGAATCAGGAAAAGTAGTTCTCACCTAAAGCCTCCGGAAAGGAAGCATAGTCCTGACAACTCACAGTATCCACATTGTGAGAGAACAAGCAGATTTTAGACCAGCAAGATGGCTCAGCAGAAAAGCTGTGCATGGAGACCTGAGTTTGACCTCCAGAATTCATGTCATTGGAAAGACAGAACCAACTCTACAAAGTTATCCTCTGACCATCAACGTGTATTGTGGCACAAAGTGTCCCTCCACAACAAGTTTTAAAAGTAAAAATAAAATCACTGGGTGTGTGGTAATTTGTTATAGCACCCTCAAGAATGCTAACATATGGCACAGAAATAGTTACCTCTCTGATCTTGACTGCTTTCCTCATTTGTTGTTGTTCCCAAATGTCTTGATTTTCATCTTCCTGACTGTCTTCGCTCTCTTCTTCATTTCTGAATGCTATACAACCAGAAGTCAACACATTAACACTCAGTATTTTCCCACTCTAACAACAGTACTCAGATTTGGGGGGTTACTTTCTGCAGGCTTAGTAGCAATTCACATGCTGTTTCTTCTTCGCAATAATCCACAACTGGGGAACTAGTATTACATCATCTTAAAAATGAGACCAATACTCAGGGCTAAATAACTGGTTGAAGCGCTGTCCTGCACTGAGAACTCAAATGCAGCCTCTGGGTCTAGGGCCAGCAATGCATGCACACCATCAGCTACCTACTTTCCCATGTGCTGGGGAGAATCAAAGGTTTGGTTTCTCATTAAAAATGTCTAATCTGGGCCACTGACAACCCTGAAGAACCCACAGGTAGGAGAGATCAACTCCCACAAGTTGTCCTCTGACCTCTATACTTATTCTGTGACATTAGTTGTGACCATACTCTAACACACAACACAAAGTAAGTAAATGGGGCTAGCAAGATGGCTCAGTGGTTAAAGGTGTCTGACATCAGGCTTAGTAACCTGAGTTCCACCCTGGGACTAACACATGATGGAAGAGAAACAACTATTGCAATTTATCCTCTCGACCTCCACATGTACACCCTGACCAGCATAAGCCCACACAAGCACTCACATTTACACACATGTGTGAGCTCACACACATAAAATATGCAAAAATCAATAAAATTAAAATAAATAAATGTATTTTTTACTTAATTCATACCTGAGAATTGAACATTTAAAAAATCGTTTCTGGGAGCCTAGGATGTAGCATAGTTGGCAGAGTGCTTGCCCAGCTTGCATGAAGCCCCGAGTTCAATCCCCAGGACATATAGTTAGTCTCACGCGGTGGTGGCACCCATCTATATAAACCCAGTACTTGGAAGGGATAAGGGGACCAGGAATTCAAGTTCACCTTTGGCTACGTGTTAAGTCTGAAGTCTGAGACTGGCCTGGATACAGGAGACACTGTCTCAAACACAAACAAAAATTGAGGGTACAAGGAACCAGCTTTATTCTGTGGGAAACCATGGTAAGACACACATGTTACGAATGAGAAATGTAACAGTCCCCTGCAGCCTGAGCATTACTGGCAAGAGGGACGCTTCATCACAGTGGGGAGATCTCAGTAGACAATACCTAAATTCCTGTAATCTTTCATGCTGACAACAACAAAACCTCTCTAAAAGGTGGCAATGAGTTCCAACATTTCAAAAACAGGAGACTGTACAATTCTTTTACTTCTCAAAAATCAAGGAAGGGATCCGGCATTAGTAAACATCACAGCACACACCCTGAGATAATGTCATACAATATGGCAGAACCATATCATTTAAAAGCCATGATACTGTGGACCAAAATTCATAATAAAAATCAACATCAACACTCTAAAACATTAAGATATGTGCTGGGAATTCAGCGTGTGCTGCTTTGGGTGGGTGGGGGTAGAGGTTCTCACTAGGTGCTAGGATTCCAGGAAGGAGCCATCTAGACTGTGTTACTGGGGCTTGAACCCAAAGCTTCATGCACACTAGGCGAGACTCTGCCAACTGAGCTGCACCGCCATCTCCAATAGCAATTATTTTTTAAGAAATGACAGGAAATATGATCATGAGCAAACAGAAATTTCACTATTGTAAAGAAAATGTCTTGATCTTTATATGCCGGTAGATAAATTAAACACATACATGTTTCTTCAGCCATTCTTTGTCTGAGTGTTTGAGGCTTTGGGGCAAACAGTATTCTCTTTTCATAGTCATCAGGGTCACTCTCTGGGTCCTCTTCATTGCTTCTCTTATTGTCACACGTGGTAGAGGGATGGTTTACATCCAGTGAAATGTAGTCACCAGGGGTCCTGGCCAACTCACGTTTTCTGCGTGCTTCCTGGATAAAAGCTGCATCAGGGATCTTAACTGAAACAGATGAAGAGGACAATGAAAACAAGTTACAGAATGAATGCTCCTTGCATTCAAGGCAAGAAAAAGACACCATGTTCCTATATTTCCCACCGCTTAGATTGATTCACATGACTGCAATAAATAGCTCCAAGTCCAGTCAGTAAAGGAAAAAAAATTAATATAATAGATATAAAATGCACAACAGAGAAATGAACCTAATCTAGCACTACCAGGAAATACACTGGCACCATTCCCTTGTGCCCCTTGGGAGCTGCTATCTCTCACTTCTGGAGGTTCTGTGACAGGACAGGAATGTGAGGGCAATGAGCACAGTGAGACAGACAGAAGCTAGCACCAGTGGCACAGTGGCCTGACTTAGAGAAGATACTAGGACACCACCTCCACTTGTGGGCACCCACACACGGAGAAGTGAGCAACAGAAACAGCACATAGCCACACCAAGCCATATCAAGGTTTTCGTAGTGAGACACACATGAAAAAAAATGAGAAGTTAAATGCAAAGAAAATGAATCTAATTAGATGACAACTTTTGTTTTTAAACATTTTCCTTTTGCTTTAGGGATTTTTTTATTTTATATATATGGATGTGTGTCTGTTCACATGTGTGTACCTGGTGCCCATGGAGGCCACAAGGGGTCATCAGATGCCCTGGAACTGGAGTTACAGACAGCTGTGAGTTACTTATCTGGGTGGGAAATGAACCCATGTCCTCTGGAAGAGCAGTCACTGCTTTTAACTGCTGAGCCATCTCTTCTGCCCCTAAATGACAACTTTAATACAACTTTATTTTTTGTTTTATTTCTGTATTATAGCATATATTCACTGACATGAATTCTTATAATTTAGGAACAGAGGTTTCTTTGTACATGAAATTTACCTTTATACTTTATAAAAACTGTTTTCTTAGGAAAATGCCACCATAAATAAGATGGCAGGAAAAATTCCTACCACTTCAAGTATCAGGAAACTATAGAGACAGTTAAGTCCCATGTAGTCCAGGCAGCCACAAAGCAAGAATGACTCTGAACTTTCAATCCTCCCACTTTCTTCACATTTCCAAATGCCGGGAATACAGGCATGGACCACCATGACCAGTTTTTGTGATGCCAAGGATCCAAATACAGAGCTTCATACATGCTACGCATTCACTCTACCAACTCAGCTGCCCCTCAATCCTGACCTCAACTCTTTGAGAAACAAATACAAGACTTGTATCAGGCAAATAGAAGATGTAACTGCAAAAGCTCTGATGTTTAGAACACAAGAGAAAAAGTGAAAGATTTCAGAAGACTTATACGTTATACAACAGACTCAGTGGTAGCAAGCAGTCTAAGGAAAACAAAATGTGTAGAGTCGATCACAAAACAATACACGGCAATTGCTAGGAAGCAGTAAGTAATCACCGAAAACAAGACAATCATGGGGCCAGAAAGATGGCTCAAGCCTGCCAAGCCTGATGACTCTGAGTGTGATCCCTGGACCTTCACGGGGGAAGGAGAGAAATGATTCATGTAAGCCATGAGTGTGATCCCTGGGACCTTCACGGGGGAAGGAGAGAAATGATTCATGTAAGCCATCTTCTGATCTATACATACTCATCTATATATTGAGAGAGAGAATAAATAAATGTAAGGAGGAGAAGAGGAGCAGAGGCATAGAAGAGATGGCTCAGCAGTTAAAGGTGCTTATTGCTTTTCCCAAGAACCAGTTCGGTTCCCACCACTTACTTGGGCAGCTCACAACCATCTGTGGCTCCAGTTTCAGAGGATCTGACACCCTCTTTTGGACTCTGATGGCACCTGGCACATGTATTTGCACATATGTACACATATGCACAAATAAGAATTATGTCTTTTAAAATTCAGTCATGCTATCAAATCATTTGCTAGGTAATATTTATTTACTTCATTTCTCCTTTCAAAAAGTTTAATTATATTATTTATTTTATTGGGAACAAAGGCAAAGCAAGCACCACAGCACACATGTAGAGGTCAGGAAAACTTGAGGGATGGCAAAACAGAACAGAATGAAGTGTAAATCAAATAATTTGCTGAATTCTTTAACTAAATGAATACCGAAAAAGAAAAACATCTATGAAGGTTAAGCAGGGACCTGCCAGAGCTCTGAACCTTTCCTAACGTGGGTAATGACTTTATTGTGGTGTGCACATGAAGATAAGCCAGTGTGTCCTAGAAACTGAGAAGTGCAGTTATTAGTGTCTAAAGCAGACTTAGGTTTCAGATCACAGGAGCCAACATCTGGCTCAGTCATGGGGACACACTAGAAACATCTGGGGACTGGGGAGCTTAGTTAACCTACCTACGGTCCTGGAGGTGAGCATGGTCTGTTCGTTCAGCCTCTGAGGGGTTACCATAACACATTTGGCTCCAATACTCAAGTGTACTAGAGACAAATGTGACTTGGAAGTGATTCACCTGCATGACTTGGGTTCAGACACTAAGTCACAAGCATGGGACTCACTGATGAGGTACTGTTGTCACAGAAAGCAGTCCTCTCCCAAGGTACAAGTTCAGGGAAGGGAAACTATGCTTCCCATCCTGTTTCTCCATACCTCCATGGTTCCCACACAGCAGGTGTTGTTAAGAAGAATGTCTGCCACAGGGAGCAGTTCAGGGCAGATGACATATCATTGGCTAATTCTCTCAGCCTGTCATCTGAACACACAACAAACACATTCTTTGTACACACAAGGCATTGTGCTGGGATGACAGGCATGCACCATCGTACCCAAGTCTCTCCATCTTTTCTTCTCTAGACAGCACATCCTTATTTTCAAAGGGGTATTTGGAGGAGAGACAATTCTTTACTGTGGAACTGTCCTGCACTCTGAAGGTAAATTTACCACCCCCTTCCTCTGGGGAACAACACAACTCAACTCTCTCCCATTAATTAGAAGCTACCCCACACATTGTCCCATACTGGCCTCTCCTCAGGAGAGCAGAGAAGCTAACGCTGCAGAACCATTCTCTCACACTGTCCATCCACAGAAGCACAGCTGAGTGCAGAAGCCGCTAGCCATATTTTACTATATCAATTTAATTAGATTAAACATTCAGTTTCCTAGTTACAATATCCACATCTTAAGAGCTCAATAGCCAATTGTGGCCAGTGGCTACTGTACTAGAATGGTGATAATACAGAATTTTTCCATCTTAACAAAGAAGTCTACTGGACTGCAACTAGAATTTATCCCAGACTGCATTTGCTTACCAGGATCAATGTTTTAAAAGACTTATTATTCTTTTTTTTTTTTTTTTTTTTTTTTGGTTTTTCGAGACAGGGTTTCTCTGTGTAGCTTTGGAGCCTATCCTGGAACTCGCTCTGGAGACCAGGTTGGCCTCAAACTCACAGAGATCGGCCTGCCTCTGCCTCCAGAGTGCTGGGATTAAAGGCGTGCGCCACCAACGCCCAGCATTCTTAATTATGTCTGTGTATTTGTACACAGGAGGGCTGGTGCCTGAGGAGGCCAGACCCATCAGATACCCCTGGAGCTGGAGTTAAGAGTGGTTGTGAACAGGCCCACATTGGTGTGGGAATTACACTACTTTCTCAATGGTGTCTTAAGTGCCACTAGACTGAAAAGCGTCTATACAGCAGAAAGCAAGTTATGAACACCCGTGTTACATTTAAAGAGCTAGATGAACATTTCTGACTTCACGGGCCGTAAGGTAAGGTCCATGATAACTTCTCAACTTTGCCAATGCAATGCCAAAACAGAGTTAAAGAACTAGTATCTGAAAGTATTTTTAAAATGACCAATCTTTTCTTTTAAAAAAAGTTTGCCAGGCGGTGGCAGCACAGGCCTTTAATCCCAGCACTCAGGAGGCAGAGGCAGGTGTATCTCTGTGAGTTTGATGTCAGCCTGGTCTACAAAGTGAGCTCCAGGACAGCCAGGGCTGTTTCACAGAAAAACCCTGTCTTGAAAAACAAACAAACAAAAAAAGGTTATTATGAGTTCCCTACACATACTATATTGTCATTATGAGTTAGTCACATATACTATATTATCCTCCTTCAGGTTTTAGACATGTTACTTCTGGTATTAGCAACATTCTCACAAACTCTTACCAGCCTCTAGTAAGGCTGGTAAGACTGCAAACAGACTCCCTGGGGAAAAGCCCTGTCTGGACAATCTCAGGCATATCATGTAATAAATAAGGACCTATTTGTGCCATACTTTTTACTGTTTTATCAACAATAAGAATCACTAGGGTATAAGGTACTGATACTAGATGGTCTTAGTGGTACATCATATTTACAAGAGGCAGATCGTGAGTTTGAGGCCAGCTTCAGCTCCAGAATGAATTGCTTATCAGCCCAGGGTACAAAGTGAGACCCTGTCTCAAAAAAGGAAGGAAGTTAGTTACATAAAATTATACAGATTACCAACCTATGGGTGAAACTTCTTTTTCTTCCAGAGAACTAGAGCTATGGGAGGCTGGACTCTGATCATCCTTACTTTCCGACGAGGGATGTGCTTCTTCCTCTTCATCTGTTGAGAGGTCAACTGTCCCAGATTCTAAGAAGATAACTTTGTAAGTCAAAACATTTGAGTCAATAGTCAAAATAAACATATACAATTCATAAGATTTCCTCTTAATTCAACACTATATGGAGCTCAAAAAGAACTGGGGCAAATAAACATTTTGAAGGGCGGCTGAGAGGTGGAGCAGAGGTCAAGAACACATACTGTCCCTGCAGAACCCTGTTTGGTTCCCAGCACCTGGGTCAGGCAGCTAAAAACTCCCATACATCAGGAGAGGAAAAAAGCCCGTTTCATTAACACTTGTTGATTGAACCAATAAAAATAATTAATTTTATTAAGTCTTGAACTGAGTTCACATCTTCTTTAGGACAGAGGTAACAAAACTGAAATAACTCACAGAAACAAAAGCTCTTTGGAACCTGTATTTTTAAGAGTTACAAAGAAAGTCCAAAGGCAAAAGTTTGAGAATCACTTTTCTAGATGGAGAGAAATGGTTGACTCCAGGCTTCAGTACTCAAGGAGCAGATGACTGACATACTTTGTATTACAGATACAAAAGATCATGCAAACTAAAAAAGTCATGAAGATCCTGAACCTTGAAGACATTATTTTAAGTGAGGTAAGCTAGGCACCCAAAGACAGACATGGCAAGTACTCATTAGGATGTAGTTTCTGAACAATTTGAAGGGAATGGTGGTTAATATGAGCTGATGTGGAGATATGTTGGCAAAGGTTACAAAACTTTACAAGAGTAAGTTTAGGGTATCTATTGTACAACAGAGATGTTAGTAAATATCAATGTTTTGTTGTATGCTCTACTTGAAAATGTCTGGAGGATTTTATGTGTCCCCACCATGAAAATAAAATTAGATCTGTGTAAACAACCCTCAAAGTATTTCAAATCATCTTGTACACCATTAAGTATATCCATCTTTCATTTACAAGTAAGCATATATGAGAAACCTCTAATATTTAATGGGGCTAAAAACAGGACTTCAGGACTGATGAAGTATGAGTATTCTGCCTGTATGTATGTATGTATGTATGTATTTATGCATGCATGCTATGTGTGTCTGGTGCCTGGCAAGGTCAAAGAGGGCTTCCCATCTCCTAGAGTTACAGACCATTGTGAGCCTTCATGTGGGGTGCTGGAAACCGTGCTGAGCGGCCTCTCTAGCTCAAGTGACTTTGCATTTGATGACATAAATGGAACAGTCAATAGTGTCACCAATGTCAGTCACAATATATCGTTTTACATTATTTGTATCCACCTTTTGTTGTTACTGCAGATAACTGATTTTTAAAATGACTGTTAAGATGGAAGCTTCACCCCAGCCCCTGGCATCCATAGACCCAAAGAGTCTGGAATGTTATGGTGGAGGTTCCACCCAAGACCCCTCCCCCATCTCCCTCCAAACCCTGCTGCATCTCAGAAAGCCCGCCAAATGATGGTCCCTCAAGACCACTCCCACAGGGTATTTAAACTGTGTCCCAGAGAACAGACTCGTGGTTTTTCCAGTCTCCCTTTCCCATCTCCTCTCTGGGGTATTGGAAGGCCACCCGGGAGAGTTGTATCCATTAAACTTTTTTTTTTTTTTTTTTTTTTTTTTTTTTTTTTTTTTTTTTTGTAATTCGGCTTGATTTGGTCTGATCTGGATTGCTGCATGGTTGAGAGGCTAATCGGGGTGTAGAAACTTTTCAATGACATGGTTCCAAACCCTGTCCCTTATTCTTTAAGTGAACTGTCAGGTGTTCTTAGAAAACTGTTGAGAAATTTCCAAAAGGCACATCTAACTTTCAGCTACTTTCAACAGTATCAGTAGTTCGGCTCCTCTTTGAGGATTCAGGTGTGGGTCACCTGCGGATGCAAATTGCGACGTGCCAACAAAATCTACAGCAGCCTTCCAACAGCCCGGGCAGCACAGAGACCCCCTGCCGCCCCTTGGTCACCTGCACCGCGGTCCCTGCGGGAAGCAGTTCCGGGGCTGCGCCGGGAGCTCGCCCACACCCGACCTCGGCCCCGGTTACCACGGGCCCTGCGCGGCGGCTCCGCTCCCTCTGCTCTGCCGCCTGCAGACGGCCGGCCTGCGTCCGCCGGCACCTCAGCAGGCCGCTCCTCCGCGCCGTCGCCGTCGCTATCGCTGGACTCGACCTGGCGCCGCCTGAAAGTCCTCTGCGGCCGGAGAGCCATACTACAAGCAGGATTGGCGCGCGTCGCCGGGTTCCGGCTCCAGCGCCTGCGCAATCGCCCGCCTCGGGTTGCGCATGCGCAGTTGTGAGATTTCCGACCGGTGTGGCGCAGCCGCTCCACCCTTACGGCCGGAGTTGGATGAGTAAGCCCAAGCCTTCTTCTGAGTAGGACAAGAGAAATACTGTCCCAGACACTTTCGCAGCTTCTGTGGCTGTAGCCCGGGAGAGGACCTGCACATCCCTCCTAGAACAGACAGAAGTGGAGGGGTAAACAATAAAATTAAACATAAATGATGAGCAAAATTAAATGATTGTCTCAGGGCCCACGACTTAGAGAGAATCGGAACTCCAGCTTGTTGGAAAGGATCTTACAGGAGTTGAGAGCTGAATTCTGCAGAAGAGATTAGTGGACTCTTGTTTCAATCCATCAGACGAACAGCTTAGAAGCCTGACAGTACCATATTTGAGTACACCTAGAGAGACTTCTAGAAACAAGTGTGTGTTCCGGCTGATTGAGTAAGGAAGATCGGCTCACAGTGTGTGTGTGTGTGTGTGTGTGTGTGTGTGTCGACTCGCGTGTGTGTGTGTGTGTGTGTGTGTGTGTGTGTCCGGCTGATTGAGTAAGGAAGATCGGCTCACTCGTGTGTGTGTGTGTGTGTGTGTGTGTGTGTGTGTGTGTGTCTGGAAAGAAGCTGCGTCTGCGAAGGCCGGTTAAGAACTTCAGTGACATGGAGAGAATGGAAGGCCATAGGCACTAGTTTATGGCTGAGATTTCTCCCCTGCTCTCTTCTTGTCCACTTAACATTTCTACCAATGTATTTTATAATTGCTTTGGTTTGTGACATTCATTTTTCTGTTACTATAAAAACTTCGTAAAACTTTCCACATTGACTATGGAATTTGGGAAGGCAGAAATCTGTTTATGGGCCATGGTCACTCATTTGGCTCCAAAGCCGTATTTCCTTTAGGGTGAGCACCGTGTTTTCACATTGACATCTGGATGGGTCCCAGGAAAGGTAGAAAGAGTAAACCAAGATGGTAAGTCAGTCTCTCAGAGCTGTGATAAGAGTTTGCAGTTGCTTCCATAGAGGTCATAAGGCCAGTGGCATACTCACTCCAATACCAGCTTCTGTGAATCCCATTGGTCAAGAATAAGATCACTATCACATTTTAAAGCCAGATTTGATGCAAGCTTTAATTAAATACTGGCCAGGTGGATGGGCTCTGGCCAAGTCCATACCCGGGTACCCAGGAAATAGCCCTGAGTCATGTTTTGCAGAGGTTATGATGGCAAAACCCAAAATTCATTGCATTTCTCATGAGCTCCAATTAGGGATGTACTTCCTGCCTGAATACCCCCCCTCCTGCATCCAGTCAGTGGCAAAGGTACATCCTGGCATATTTCCTGCCCGTGTGTGATGAAGCACATCTGGTGCAGATGAGTCAACTTGTTTAGGAGAGTGAAAGCATGTGGCTGTTATCTCCCACAAACAGTAACCATCAGCATTTCAGGACCTATACATCCTTGGGCAAGGGGCTTGCAGATCAGAGCATTTTTGTTTCATGGGTCTCTAAGGCATAGTAATTAAACTTTAAAATGTAACTTTGGCTCTCCCTTTCCCCCCTTTAGTATCCTGAGTCAAATCCTTGACTCTGTGATGGGTACCTGTTTATACTGGAATATAAAAACCATCAGCTTAATGGTACCCAAACAGGAATTATCATTTAGTTAAGTCACCAGTCATACAAGAGCCAACAGCAATTAGCAGAAGGAGATGGGCCAAAGGCCCTATGATGGCTGACATCAAACTTGCTATCTAAAAGGAACCTAGAAATGAGAACGCTATTTACTTCAGCCCAGGTCTCCTTTTTTTTTGCCATGATTTCTTTTTTGAGTACAGCCAGATTTCTTCTGATGATTCCTGAGTGGGTTTATTATCATGGGTTCAGACAGGAGGCTAAAAGTAGGCAGGTTGGGGTTTGCTAATAGGTTCTGAGGGCCAAAGAATAAGTTCATGCACCTATCATTCTTCCTATAGCTCTTTATTCTTCAAAAAATTTTCTTCCCAAAGTTCTCTCAAAAGCTCTCTTTAAGATTTCTCCTCAAAAATCCTTTCTCTACAAGCTCTCTTAAAGTTCTCTTCAGGAGTTCTTCCTAAAAATTCTCCTAGAGTTCTTTCTAAAAATTCTCTAGAAGTTCCTTTTCTTCCCACAAGGCTCCCAGTTATATACTCACAGACACATTTAACAACTCTCTGACAATAGGGCATACATATCTCTCAGAGCCAAGAAGGCAAATAAAATCTTGACAAAAGCAGGATACCCCATGTCTCCTTCAGGCAAACTCAAGTCTCAGAGGGGATGTGACTTGCAAAATGTGCTGTTAACTTCTCACTATATCAAAGTGAAAAAAACTAAGACTTAATAGTGTGAGATATAGAGGCTGCTGCTTCCAACCTCAGTAAGCAGTGGGGTGCTCTTACCACTGCCCCCCCACCCGTGAGAAGGAATTCCTTTCTCTGGGGCCTATTTGAGAATACAAAGCACCCAGTATATCTTCTACATATAGCAAAAATTTGTAGCAACAATTATTCTGGAGTTGATACCTGGAATGTTAATTGATACTTCTGTAATAAATGATAAAGGCTCCCCAACAGTTTATATAGAAACAATGATCTTCTCTTAAAGCTATACAATAACTCCTCTGTTTTACATAGAGCAGGTTCAGTGCCCTATCATATTATAGAACTATTTTAGCCAGTGAATCTGCCTATATTGATAGATCTGGGTCTATTTGTTTTTAACAGATATCCTTCCTGATATGCCAATAGGCACTATAGGTATCTATTTTTTTTATCCCCTATGCCAAGGAGTATCATTTTGATCTAACACTGAAGTTTGTTGGCAGACAAGGGACAATGTACTCTTTTCCTTCTTGTCAGGTTCCAGGAGGGCTGGAATGCTAGTCAAAGGTAAGGCAGGAATTCAGGCAATGGGGCATTCATCAGAAGCATCTAGTCTGCTGAGCCAGCTGAAGAGCCAGGGAGCAATCACATCAGCTGGACTGGTCTACATCAGCTTTCAGCAAGTTCTGCCCTTGCAGTCTTTCCAAACAGGTTGTAGTCAACAGCTGATGCTTGGATGGTGTTTGTCTGCCAAATGGAAATCTATTGAGAAAGATACAAACTAGGGATAAAGTTAAAATTTAAGAACTTAAACCAAAATCTTACATTTGGAAATTTCAGGCCCATTATCCTGGTAGTGGGGGGGGAGGAGGAGGAGGAAGAAGTGGAGGAGGAGGAGGAGGAGGAGGAGGAGGAGGAGGAGGAGGAGAGAGAGAGAGAGAGAGAGAGAGAGAGAGAGAGATCCCATCCTCAGGAATAGACAGGTGGGGAAACTTGGGCTGTACTTATCTGGAGTTCTTTTGACCTGTGAGAGGTGGACCCAAGTCTTATGACTCCCTAGAGTCTCTGAAGCTAACATAAATTTTTTTTTAGTTTACAAAGACATAATAGCTTTAGATACATTAGCATTACCAAACTGTTCTGAAATCCACATAATAGAAAAGGCAGGTGACAAGTGTATGTAAAACAGTTAGGGTAGACTCACACCTTTGAGTCCTAGCAAAAGCTATAGATTTGAGTTAAAATAATGAGCATTTTCTTCCTCTGTTCAGAGAGGAAAGAGATGCCTTTAGCCCAGTAAGAAGTACCTTTAAGTCTCTTCTTAGAAAACAATCAAAGGAAATTAAGAATCTTGAACTTGTGGCTGAATAGTAAGTAAATAGTTAGTGCTCCATCAGCTTATCAGAACTCCGTGAATCAATATTAGAACTCTGAACTTCTGAAATCTCAGTGTAGCGATAGCATAGAAAGGGGAAGGAAATCTGAAACATTTCCCATTTTCATATATCTTAAATCAATGATTTATACCTTTACAACTTACATTTACACATCTTAAATCATTTTCTTAGATCCCCAAAACTTGCATAGACTTTTTCCTTTTTTTTTCTTCCCATATAATCATTTATAGTTATTACTGGGACACTATTAGTTATTACTGAGAACAGTCATTGCAAAGTATGGTCCTAAAAACAAAACAAAACAAAACAAAGAAGCTGGGTGGTGGTAGCATACACCTTTAATCCCAGCACTCAGGAGGAGGAGACAGGTGGATCTCTGTGAGTTAGAGGCCATCATGGTCTACCAAGCAAGTTCCAAGACAGCCTCCAAAGCTACAGAGAAACCCTGTCCTGAAAAACAAAAAACAAAACAACAAAACAAAACAAAACAAAAAAGCAAACCAAAGCAAAGTATGGTCCTTTAGTGGAAAGTTATATCTGAAATCTGTTTAGCTTTAACAAGAATCCTGTAAGCAAGGCAAACCTGTTTGCCTTTTCTCAATAGGGGACCTAGTAGCTCTAGAAAAAGCAAGGTGTTATGAAATATTATTTTAAGATATGTTACATTTGTTTATGCTGTGGAATATTTTTTAGTGATGCCAATATGTGTTGCATTATTTTATGTTGCATTTGTTTAACTCTGTGAAGCTCTGTTACTTTGCCTTCCCAAAACACCTGATTGGTCTGATAAAGAGCTCAATGGCCAATAGCCAGGCAGGAAAGGGATAGGCAGGGCTGCCAGGCAGAGAGAATAAATAGAAAGAAAAAAGGAAGATCTGGAAGTAAAAGGAGAAGGAGAGAAGGACTCCAGGAGCCAGGTACCCAGATACACAGCAAGTCACAGAATAAGAAGTAAAAGGGGAAGAAAAGGTATATATAAAAGTAAAAACCCAGTCTTTAAAAAAATTAAAGTTGTTATTTTCAAAATTATATTGTCAGGATTTTGATCTTTTGGGATCTTAGTCTTGAGAGGTTTTGTTCTTTGGGAACTTTCAACATTGAACTGTCATTCAAAACTTTCAGTCAGACATCCATTCCTGTGACAAACCTCAGAAAGAGGCAATGTTTATTTTCATTATTGGCTGTCTAGACAGACAGGAAAATCAAAATTCCTCTTTGTATTGATGGGGGAATGAATCAAGTTA